GTAACTCCTGGTTGCGGTAGGCCCAGTGTGGGGACGAGGAGGGGGCGGTAACTCCTGGTTGTACTAAGTCTGGAGCCGGGGTCTGCTGGCTCTCGGTGAGGTGGTAGCGACGGTGGAAGTGGGGGAACTGCTGTTTGCGGGGTGAGTGGGGGTCCAGCATGGAACCCGGCTTTGGCGGCCCATCAGCGAGGTAGTCCCAGTGATGAAGAACTACCTCCTGAAGAGCATCGACTCCAACATTTGTGGGTCTGGTGCTGGTGGCGGCATGGGTACCACCATTTGACTGGCTCAGGTCTCGGGACTCATCTTGGAGGTGGCAGAGCGAAGATGGACTTTCCTTCAGCTTTATCCTTTTATTCCTGAAGTATTTGAATCGCAGCCGAATTGTGGTGATGGTTGAAGCTTTTCACTGTATTTTACTGTGTTGCTCATTCATGTCACAAACATCCACTCCCTTTACCACAAATGCTCAATAGGAGCAGTGCGCACCATCTACAAGACGCATTGCAGAAATTCAGCAATCCTTCTTAGAGAGCACCTTCCAAATCCAGGACTACTTCCACCTAGATAGTCAAGGGCAACAGATACCCGGAAACACCACCGCCTTCAGGTTCCCTCCAAGCCACTCACCATCCTGACTTGGAAAAACATTGTTGTTCTTTCACTGTTGCTGGGTCAAACTCATGGAATTCCGCACCTTAAGGGCATTGTGGGGCAACCTACAGCAGATAGACTGCAGTGGTTCAAGGAGGCAGCTCACTACCACCTTCTCAAGGGGCAACTGGGGCATTAATAAATGCTGACCCAGCCAGCAAAGCCCACATCCCATGAATAAATAACAATAAAGTCAGGGAGAAGTTGGAATAGAAGAATAACAATTTCAAATTGTAGGTATAGATTGGATTGGGAACTCAATGGAGATCGACAAGAACAGGCCTCTTGGGTGAAAGGGACTTTGCCGGGAGTCAGGATATGGGCAAACTGAATTTTGGATGAGCTTAAGCTTATGGTGGGAGAAAGATTGGATGCTAGGCAGAAAAACATTGGAATACCTGAGGCTGGAGCAAACATGAGGACATCAGGACTTGGTATTGTTGGAGAAGGACAAAAGTGCAAGAATAAGGACCATTAAATAGAAAAAAAATCACGTTTTTTAGATTTAAGAACCATGGTTTGTATTATTTATTAATGTATTAATGTATTGGTGGCATGTTTGATCATATAGCCAGATGTTTACATTTTTACATGTCTTTTGGGCAGGTAATATCTATATCAGGCACCTCCATAGGTATTGGATTGTCTACAGTTTGTGACACTCTCATATCTCAGGTAGGTAAAACCACACAATCATCTCCACTTAATCAAGAAACTTATTAATCTAAAATTTTCTTTGATCTCTCTTCCTTTGCAGAAAAATATGGCATCCATCTGCCCTCTCACTCTGATTTTAAAACAGCCTTTGGCCCAAAGTTGTATGCAGGGTGTTTTGAAAACTTTTTGTCTTAACCATAACAAAACATCCATAAGAATCAATACATCTGACCCTGCACCCAATTTACTTTCTTGCTATTTAGCTTTTTCTTTAGTTTTTCTTTCCATCAACCATAATATCTACATATGTGAATACGCAAAATCAGGGATGTTGGAAAGTTCTCATGGGTCTGTTATATAGCTCATAAACAAAATAGTCCTGCTCGCCAGTGTCCTGTGAGTCCTGATCACTTGCAGACTAATGTGATCTGCAGTTCCGAGCACTTCATAATATCTTCTTTCTCCTTCAAGAATGAGCAACTATTGTCTACAATGTCTTTTTATTAACAAAGCTAATCACTGCAGAGATTTTTTACCCCATTACTGTGTATGCGTGTACGTGTGTGTGTGTGTGTGTGTGTGTGTGTGTGTGTGTGTGGTTTGTTGTGTGTGTGTGTGCGCGTTGTGTTGTGTCTGTGTGTGTTGTGTGTGTATTATTTAGAAGGGTGGCTGTTTAAATTTGGTACTTGAACTTGTGTGTCAATCAGCTATACATCTTTGCTGAATAAGTGTTGGTTTGTGATAATTTCATAATTTTGTTGTTCATTAAAGAAACCTCATTCCAAACCTGATATTGATGAAGTATGTAATTGGCCACTGGATCAAACTTGGGACAAGCAGAGTAATGGGACTACTGTACACCTTTAGCCTTGGTTGGAAACCCACACTAGTTGAACCATGCCCTATTGAGCTTCTTACAATCCCAACAGTGCAGATAGAGGCCCATCAAGTTCACACCAACCCTCCAAAGAGCACCTCACGCTCTCCTTACTTTTACCCTGGCTAACCCACCTAACCTGCACACCACAGGGCAATTTATCATGGCCAATCCATCTAACTCACACATCTTTTGACTGTGTTAGGAAACCAGACGACCTGGCGGAAACTCACACAGAATGTGCAACTCCACACAGTCACCCAAGGCTGGAGACAAACCCAGGTCCCTGGTCCTGTGAGGCAGCAGTGCTAATCACTGTGCTACCATACCATCCCTGTTTATAGCTGTGTTTCTATTTGAAGCATCAATTTTGCAAAGCACTCTTCACAACTTCAGGGCAGTTTAAAGCACTTTATAAAAACAAATTTCAAGTATTGTCACTATTGTAATGTAGGAACCGCAGCAACTATTTTGCAGAAAAATGGCGTCTATCAGGATGTGAGGTACTGGTTAATATTGATCCAATTCTCTTTAACATTTGTTTTGATTTCCAGACGTACGGCAGAAAGAACCTAAAGCGAATCGGAGTGATTCTCCAACGAGGGATCCTCATTCTCCTGATCGCCTGCTTTCCCTGCTGGGCTCTTTTCATAAACACTGAACACATCCTGTTGGCTTTGAAACAGCCTCCTGCAGTGGCCAAGTGAGAACCTTGTCTAAATTCTATTTTTAATTGGTTTTATTTCACTCATGGGAGGTGGCTGTCACTGGCTGGACCAACAATTTTCATCCATCTGTAGTTGCCCTTGTGACGGTGGTGGTGAGCTGCATTCTTAAATTGCTGCAGTTCATTTGATATAGATACACCCACAGTGTTCTCGGTGAGGGAACGCCAGGATTTTGAGCCAGTGCCAGTGAAGGAACGGTGATATGTTTCCAAATCTGGATAATGGGTGGCCTGGAGGGGAACTTGCCCAAGTAATGGTTTTCCACGAGACAAAGTTATAAAAGAGAATAAAATGGTAGAGTTAGTGTAAAAGAAAGAAGGTGATCCTAAGTTTATAGTCCAATGGTAGAATGTGTTAGCGAATATAAAACTATTGAGATGAAGAGTGGTAAGATGGAGGTTCTAAGTTGCATATTTACACTTAGTGAAGGATTAATATCAGATGGACAGTGTCAAGTGGAGACCAGATGGCCTCAATACAGGGTGAACTGATGAAATAGTGACATTTTTGGTGTTATTCTCTTGTTCTTAATGGGCTTTGCATGTACATTAATCAATTTGGAAAATGGATGATTTATTGGTGGTAGTTAATAGATGCAAAATACCGTAGGCAATTCGATGTTGGGGAAGAAAGCCATTTGGTTTTGTGTGATAACACGTCTGGAGAAAAAAAAAGTGAAATAATAAATGAAATGGTGAGTTGTATGTTCCCAGGTGTCCTTGGAGTGGGAACATCTGGTGTCCACCAACAATCTCAGTGTCTTTAGACAGAGGGAGGCACAATAGGGGGTGGGATGCCTTATTTCCCCCTTCATTTTGATTTAGTTCCTTACCTCTCTCCCTACCTTTCCCTCACCAATGGCATCATTGAACTGCTCCAGACAGACTTTGCATACAAATCGATAACTGGCCCAGAAACACAGAGTGATTAAGTGGCAGAGGATAAAGGGAAAGAAAAAATTGCTGGCGATTTTGAGATGAAAAATGTTCAGTGGTGCATAAAAAACACCCCCGGATATTAAAGAAAGGGAAAAAAACGAAATAGTGCATTGGCTTTTTTGGTGCAGTGTCCCTACCTCTGAGCCGGGAGACCTGGGTTCAAGTCTGAACAGGTTGATCAGACAATATCTGAAATTGTGAGTCAACCATCATACACCCAGCATCCTTCCTCAGAGCTGCATCGTTAGGCATGTGGTTTCCATCATGGAAGTGGAACCGACCTTAAAAGTCAGAAGGGAGAGTAATGCAGCATGAATTGCCAAAAAACTAAACAGAATGGAATTTAGGCTTTGGAATGAGGGGGATCTTCAGGAGAGTTTCCTGTGTCACTTTGTGAATTCTATCAACAAACTCTGCCAGTATCACCGTGTCATGTGTGAGCTGGAGTTCCCATTCGTAAACTCAGCCAATGAACAAAATCTGCCCAACCACTGAATGACAAAGGTGAGTCCTTTGGGTAAATATGGTGACCACAGAGCAGAGATTGTCAACGGGGTGAGAACCGTCCAATTTTCCACTCAATGATAAGACAAGGATCTCGCACGCGAATAGGGAGAGTCCTATTTGCATGTATTAGCATCTCATTAGAACTAGTCTTGCCTTGATTGTATGCAGCTTGTTGTTTTACCAGGGCACGATCCATGGGCAACTCCCTGCCATCCATGGTGGTTGGCATCAGACACATGCCAGCCTTATCACATCATCATGGTTTCTCTGTGATTCAGTTTTAATGCAGTGAATGATTTCAGTACTGTACTTTGGAGCTTACTAACACCTTTCATTGTAGTGGTCCTGCAGGGACTTTTGTAACTAAGTACAGGCACCCATCTTGTGCATTGGACCAGGGGGCACCTAGAGGCTCTGAGCTTGGTTTCTTAACACTCACTCACCTTCCACTTACTTAGATGTTCACAACATCTCTGTCTTGCCTTGCCTTTTAATGCAGATGGAAGGTCAGGCATTGTGTCATGGTTGCTGGCAGGGATCAGTCAAGGGGGCTGACATGTTGCTGTGTGGTACCCTGCTCTGGCATTTGCCAGCAGCTAACATGGCAAACATGTGCTTCAATGGCTGTGTTTCAAAGTCTAAGGAGCTTGGACCTGGCTTCTTGGCCACTTTGGATCATCAGGGTCTGAGGTTCTGTATCATTACAGTGAGGTTATGGTCCATGGTCAGTTCCAGTGCAACACAGTCTGGGGACGCATGGCAAGTCTCACAGATCAGTGAGGGTCTGGCCACTCAACAGTCCAGCCTATTGTACCAACCTGGTCAATCCTGGGGGTCTGTACATTGAAAATCAAGGTGGGATTTTCAGGGCCATTGCTGTGTTGAACAAGTTATAGAGGTCAACAGTGGAGATTAAAGGCAGCATGCTAGGCTTCAGGGGGACTATTATTGTAATGGGGGTAACTCAACACATAAAGGTGGGGACAACAGTACATTAGAAGACATGGTATACTACAGTAGGGGTGGTAGGAGCACTCATTGACAGTCACTACCTATCATGGCTTCAAGTGGAATTGTGTATCACAATGGTTGACATCACTCAGCTGTAGCCCCAGGGCTTTGGGGGTAATGCTGGGAGATGAAACTTTAAATGAAAGAGTTGGGTCGGAATGTGTGGAAGCTCAAAATTCACAGGTTTGACAGGGAGTCCAAGGAAGAAAGGAAAATGGAGGCTCAGGATGGGGTACCTGAGTTACAAGGTTGATCTAGCCACTCACTAAACACGTACAGTGTCACCTGCAGGCTACAATTCACAAAAGTCCTCCTCTCATGGGCTGATTTGTCTTATTGTGATACAAAGTTGGTGTAAACACCAGAATGATTGTTGTTGATTCTTGAAGAAATTATCACAGACTCTGACTGCACAACACATGAAATTCAGCCCATCTTGTCTAACCAGCCCTTTCAAAGAGCAACCCAGTCAGTCCCTTTCCCACTCGAGCCAGATATCGCTGTAATTGGCCTGAGGAAGGGTCACTGGACCCGAAACATTAACTGCTTGCTGTATCTGCCTGTTAACCTTTTGTGATTAATGTACCATGGCACCCAGATCGCTCTGCACCTGAGAGATCAGCAATCTCTCACCATTTTGATCATATGCTTCCTGTCAAAATGGACAACTTTCCCCACATTATATTGCACTTGCCCGCTCACTTTGTAGTCTTCACAACTTACTTTCCTATCTACCTTTGCGTCATCAGCGAATTTAGCGACCATACCTGGATTCTCTTTATCCAATCATTTATTTGTAACTTGTAATAGTTGAAAGGGCAGGGTACTGTTCCCTGTGGCACACCACTCAACGCACTGTATCAACCACAAAATGCCCTACTTAGGCTTCCCCTCTGATTTGTGTTAGCCAGCCAAAACAATACAATATTCTGCTTCTTTTATTATGTCTAGAGTGTGGCTGAAACTCCTCTAGATGACAGGTCTAACTTCCTAACTTCATTGTTGTTGTTGTGCACCACAGGTTAATACTTAACTGCATTAATTTAGCTACAACAGTTTGAGTTTTATCTCTGGCTACAGGTGGTAATGTTCGATGCTTTCTCTGCTGTTAACAGCATCTTTTACTTTTCTTACAGGTTATCACAGCTCTACATTTGGATATTCATTCCTGGGCTCCCTGTAAGTGATTCACATGCACTTCCAGTTGGGTAAATCATATTGGCTCTCCCCACTAACTGGGTAATTTCACTACTCATTAAGTAACCATGACCAATACAAAAATAAAATGTTGCAGATGCTGGAATTTCAGATTAAAGTAGAAAATCCTGAGAATGCTTAACAAGTCATGCAGTATCTGTGGAAAGAAAAACGGAGTTAATGTTTCTAGTCTATGACCTTTCACCAGAACCATGTCAGTTATTCAGTATGAGTGTCAGCCTAGATGCATCACGTGTGGGATTTGAACCCACAATCCTCTGACTCAGACGTCAGAGTGCTAGGAACTGAGCAATGACTAGCACAGTGCTGCAGTATCTTGATTTTACAAGGTCTAGGCAACTACATCTTGGGCCATTCAGAATTCGGGCAAATAGGCTGCAGTTAGGATGAAGAGAAACCCAACACAGGTCTGCTGAAACATTTGAAACACATCTGAATGTAACTTCCTTTTCCATTTCAATCATGACTGATACATTACCCATGACTAATTATGCTCAATATTGTCTCTTAGGCATTTTTTCTTTGTGACTTAGAGACCAGATACCTTCAGAATCAGGTAACGTTACTGAATGCTGGACTGTGCATGAGATGCAATAATTTTGAATTTGCTAGTTACATATGCCTTTGCTTGAGGACCAATTGCAAACAGATTGAAGCTTCATAATACTACAGGAACTCATTTGGAAAAGATAGCTACAGTCATGCATCATTATAAGGTACTAACAGCACAGGAACAGGCCATTCTGCCCAATAATCCAAGCTTGTGGTGTGCGTGCTGCACTTGACCTTCCCTACATCCTTTATCATCTCACCTGATTAACATGTCCTTCTGTTCCTTTCTCCTTTGTGTGTTTATCCAGGAACATAGGACCGGGGTTAGACCATTCAGCCCATTGAGCCTGCTCCACCATTTACTATGACCATGGCTGACATAACAATTCAACACCTTTTACTTGCATTAGCCCCAACACAGTTTACCTCCATGACAACCATAAATTTATAACCTCCACTTTAAAGGTACTCAAAGACTGAGCTTCCTTGGCGGCCTGAGGTAGAGAATGCTGAAGATTTGCAAATTTTGAGTAAAAACTAATTCTCCTCACTTCAGCCCTAAATGGCTTCCCCCTCATTTTTTAAATTTTTTCCCCTGGTTCTTGATTCCCCAGCCAGGGTATACATCTTACCTGCACCTACCCTGTTGCTTCCTCTAGATATTTTGTAGGATTCAATGAGATCACCTCGCATTCTTAAAAACTCGAGAGAGAGTACAGGCCCAGTTTCCCTAGTCTCTCTTCATAAGACAGTCCTGCCTTCCCAGGAACTAAGCTTGGTGAACCTTGTTGAACTCCTCTGTGGCAATAATATCCTAGAATAGCATTGAATACTGACACTTTCTAACCCCTTACTATTTAATAATTACTCTGCACATCTGTTTCTCCCACTAAAGTGGAGAATCTCACAATTTTCCACATTATATTCCACTGCCATGTCCTCGCCCTCACTAAGCCTGTCCAAGTCCTTCTGAAACTGCGTTATGTCTTTCTCTCAGTACATATTCCAGCTTAGCATCATCTATAAATTTACAAATATTACATTTGGTCCCTGTGTTTACATCATTGAAATCAATTGTGTATAGCTGGTACAGTTACCCAGTCATTACAATATGCCAACTCGAGAATGACCCACTTATTCCTTCTCTATGTTTTCTGACTGTTAGCCGATCCTTAATCCATGCCAATATATTATCCCCTGTCCCATGTGCTTTAATTTTTATAACCAGCCTCCTGTGGGGGGTCCTTATTAAAAGTCTTCTGAAAATCTGAGTATACTGTATCTTTTAATGCCATTTTATTGATTTTATTCATAACACCCTTAAAAAATGCATGCCTCCAAAATTTGCCTTATTCAACTTTAACACCCTTGTTTCAGATTAATCTATCACACTTTTAAACATAAGATAAGGTTCTGTCATATTGTGGTCACTCATCCCTAAAGGTTCTTATATATAAAAAATTATTAATTAGCATTGCTTATTATATATTACTAGATCTAAAGTAGCCTGTCCTTGAGTTGGCTCTTCAACATGCTGCTCTAGAACACCGTCCCGAAGACACACCACAAACTTGTCCTCCATGCTATAGTCAGTCAGTTGGTTTACCCAGTCTATGTACAGATTGAAATCACCCATGATAACTGTGCTGTCCATTCTTATAAGCTTTCTCTCATCTCCTGATTAATACCATGCAAGACACTCCCACACTATTCGATGGCCTGGAATTAATTCAAAGAAATTCTGCTTCCCTTTGCTTTTTTTTTATCTTCATACAGATTCCACATGTTTTTCTTCCAATCTGAGATCCCCTCACTAATGTATTGATCCTAACCTTATTATGAAATCAACTCCACCTCCTTTTCCTTCTTGTCTGTCCTTGCTAAAATTCAAATATCCTTGAATATTCATTTCCCAGTCCAGGTCACCATGCCGAAATATTTCTGTAATTGAAATTATATCATAATTGTTTACCTCTATTTGTGCCTTTAGGTTACCTATGTTGTTGCGAATTCTGTTATATTCAATTGGGATGACTTCAACTTTGCCCTTTTGCAATATTATTCTGCCTTTGAGGCATATCGAAACTCGGCTTTCTTCCTGCTGTCTCAGACCATAAGAAATTTGAACAGGAGTAGGCCAATCAGCCCTTCAAGCCCACTCCACCATTCAATGGGATCATAGTTGATCTGGCATTCCTCACATCCAATTTTCTGCATTTTCCACTCATGATCAAGAATCTGTCTCAGCCTTAAATCCACACAAGGACTTACCCCACAACTCTCTGTGGCGAGGAGTTCCAAAGACTTCTAGTCGCTCTAGCTTCCCCATCAAATTTGTTCACATTATGCATCTCAACCATTCCTTGTGGCTAAACAAATGAAGCTAGTTTCTCTGTTTGAATTGATCACTGAGATGATTTCTGTCATCACTGTCTGGATGATAATTTGGTGGAGTCAATCAGTAACACCCAATTTTCATGCCACTGAAATCAAAGAGATAAAATCAGGTGGTTTCTACACTAAGTGGGTGATCTGCTTTATGATTGTGGAAATCACTGGAATGTCATTTTGCTTTTAATGTCAGCCTATTGCTCTCTATTGGCACTTTAAATGCCCCTCACTGTGTGATGTCTGATCTTCTATTAGTCTGTTCTCAGGATGTGGGCAACAAAAATGGCCAACAAAATGACATTTACCATTCATTCTTATTTGCTCTGGGAAACTGACGCTTATCATTCTCGTAACATTGCAGTTCCTTGATGGTATTGGGTTGGGAATTCCGGGATATTGATCCAAGATAATGAAAGCAGCAAATGATGTCCACATCAGAGTGGTGTGGGACAGGAAGGAACCTGCACAGTGTGGTGTTGCCAGGATATTATGGTCTCATGTTTTTTTTTGACGGGAGAAGTCCTCGGGTTTTGTTGGGGGGTTCTCTTTTACGTGTAAACTGGCTGTGAATGTGAAGTGCACTCTGTCAATAGTAGATACTGCAGGCAGAAGAGGTGAATAATCAGTCTTTGAGAATCGATAAAACAAATCAAGGGACATGACTGATGCTGAAACAGTTGGCTCTGTCTAAGGTTGTGGTAAGTCTTGCACCAAATCTGTCATTCTCAAATGGTAGGAGAGGATTAAGGGATCAGTAACAGTTGCAGAGTACTTATGGTATCCATCCTTCATTGTAACCAATGTGTTGATGTGGCTGTTCTGGTTATGCTTCTTGCTAGCTGTGATCCATAAATATTGCATGCACTCAGGAGCAATATATCAAATGAAGAACCATGGCATTTCCTTTATTTGTTTTCAGTTGGGAGATTGTGGATTGGCAATGTCAAGAAGAATGATTGAAGTCAGATAGCAGGCTAGTGAATAAAATAATTGAATTCAAATCTCTTGCACATTGGGAAACCATGAGGACACAGGTTGGAGTGCAGAGATACGAATTTAACAGTCAAACTGAACATGTGGCCATGTAACGAATGAACCTGAATCAAGTGAGGCAGCATAAAAATGCAGGGAATAACAGCAGGAGTGGATCTCATGGCCATTGAGCCTGTTCTGTCATTCGATATGATTATGGCTGATCCTTGGTTTAAACTTCACTTTCCCACCCACTGCCCATATCCCTTGATTCTCTGATAGACCAAATATTTGTCTACCCCAGCCTCAATATTTTCAACAGTGGAGAATTCCCAGCCTCTTCATTTCTCTTCATTTCAGCCCCAAATCATTGACCCCTTATCCTGAGACTGTGCCCTTGTATTTTAGATTCCCCGGCCTATAGAAACAACCTCACAGTGTCTTCCCTGTCATGCCTGTGTGGAATTTTGAATATTTCAATAAGACTACAACATTTCATTCTTCTAAACTCTAGAGAACACAAACTCAGTTTACTCAACCTTTCATCAATGGGAGAAAGGATCTTCTTTGATTGTTGGATTGGGGTAGGAGCATGTTGTATCACAAACTTGGGCATTTAGAGAGCAAATTGCACTCTGTCTTCCTATTGGCACAATGCCACACTCCCTGTTGGTTTATTGACAGGCAATGCCGGGACTGAATTCATCGCTTTACTCCCACCTCAGGGGATCATCATGCCTCAGGTTTTTGTTCGTTTCATCACCAACATTTTCAATGCTGTCATCAATTACCTCTTCCTCTACGTGCTGACACTGGGATTGCCGTAAGTAGTAAACAACCTTAAATATTCTAAAATGATGAATGTATAATTGAATACAAGTTCTGGTAAATGAACAGTAACCTAGGAGTTATCTGAAGCCACGTTTAATATCCAGGCTTGTATTCCAGGGGCTCAGCTGCTGCCAATGTTGCTTCCCAGTACTTTCAGCTTCTCCTCCTGTTTGGATACATTCGATGGAAAAAGTTGCATGTTCAGACCTGGGCAGGTAGGTTTCAGGGAGGATCACTTACAATTTGGGTCATGGTGTGAAATGGACAATATCTAATTTGCCGTTCATTATGTATCCAATGGCATATATTTAATATTGGAAAAAAAATTTTCAGATAAACCTATGCTATTATTGGTGTTTAACACAGAATTAGGGCAATACATGTTTGGGTTATTTATTGATGAGGAACAGACGACATAGAGGGCTTTAGGAGCATTCCACACACATACACAATCACTGCTCTGCGTCCTATTTTACCTTGTATCACATCCTGTGGTGATGATGTATACTTACTCTGTGATGCACTAATCAAAAGACTACATCACGTACATTAAGGCTTTATTAGAATAAACAGAGAATGAGAGGTGATGTAACTGAAACATATAGAAATCTTTAGGGGCTTGACAGGGTAAATGCTGAGAGGATGTTTCCCCACATGGGAGAGTCTAGGAGCAAAGGGAATAGTCTCAAAATAAAGGAGAATCAAATTAACATTGATGAGGAGGAATTTCTTCTCTCAGAGGGTTGTGAGTCTTTGGAACTCCTTGCCACGGAGAGCTGTGGGGGCAGAGCCCTTGGGTGCCTATGAGGCTGGGATAGATAGATCGTTGATCAGTTGGGGAATTAGAGATTATGAGGAAAGGGTACGAAAGTGGACAGGGGGAGTTTGGTTCAGCCATGATCCTTTGAATGGTGGAGCAGGCTTGAAGGGCTGAATGGCCTACGCCTGTTCCAATTTCTTATGGTGTATGGTCTCACAGGCAATGTAAAAGAGGCAGGGTCACCAGTCCCGCAACGTTAACTCTGTTTTATCCTTCACAGATGCTGCCAGACCTGCTGAGCTTTTCCAGCCACTTCTGTTGTTGTTGTAAAAGAGGCAGAGGTGGCATTCAGTAGAGTGGCATTCTCTTCCTGATGTGAGAGATCAGAGAGTGGTTGACTGTTCCTGGTAACTATGTTTGCAGGAAGTGTGGTTGGCTGCAGGTCCTATCAGACCACATGGACCAGCATTAAAAGGCAATGAGAAGTATACATGAGCCAGAGAGTGTGATAGATAGCAATTTCAGGGAGTCAGTCACACTGCAGGTACAGTCAGGTAGATGGGTGACCATCAGGAGAGGTAGGCAGGTAGTGCAGCAATCTCCTGTGGCCATTCCCCCTCTCAAACAAGTATACCGTTTTGGATACTATTGCAGGAGATAGCCTCCCAGAGGAAGATAGCACTGACAGCCAGACCTTTGGCATGTTAAGGTCCAAGCAATCAATTGTGATAGGGAACTGTCTAGACAGCTGCACTGAATGGGATTTCTGTGGCTGTGTGCATGACATCAAGATGGTGTGTTGCCTCCCTGGCGCCAGGGTCAAATTCTCAAAGGGGAGCATGAGGAGCCAGAGATGGTTGTGAACATTGGTACCAATGACATAGGTAGAGAAAGGGATGAGGTTCTGCAGAAATTGGGCAAGGAGGTTAAAAAGTAAGACCTCTAGGGTAGTAATCTCTGGATTACTCCTGGTGCCATGTGCTGGTGAGAGTAGGAATAAGAGGATAGGGCAGATGAATAAGTGGAGCTGGTGCAGGGGGCAGGGATTCACATTTTTAAGCTCTCTTCTGGGGCAGAAGTGACCTTTAGAAGAGGGATAGGTTGCACCTGAACTGGAGGGGTCCAATATCCAACGGGGAGATTTGCTAGAGCAGCCTGGGAGGCTTTAAATTGTTTTTGGGTTGGAGGGAACCTAAGCAGTAGTGAGAAAAGAGGGAAGGTTGAGGCTGGTATAGAAGTTAAAGGGGACCAAGTTAATGAGGAAAGCAGGCGGGAGCACAGTGGAGAACGGCGTAAAACTGATGAATGAAACTGCATCTATTTCAATGATAAAGGCCTGACAGGTATGGCAGATGGGAACATGGGACTGGGATATTATAGCTATTACAGAAACATGGCTGAGGGAGGGACATGACTGGCAGCTTAATGTTCTTAATGTAATAGAAGCTATAGGAAGGGTAGAAAGGGAGGCAAGAGAGGAGGACAGTGGGGTTTTTGATTAGGGACAACATGACAGCTGTACTTGGGGAGGAATATCCTGGGGATCATCCGATAAAGTTATATGGGTGGAAGTGGGAAATAAGAAAGGGATGATCACCTTGATGGGATTGTACTATAAGCCCCCCAGTAGTCAGGGGGAAATGAGAAGCAAATTTGTAAAGCTATCTCAGATATCTATAAGAATAATAGGGTTGTAATAGTAGGGGATTTTAACTTTCCAAATGTAGACTTGGACAGTCATAGTGTTCAGGGCTTGGCTGGGGAGGAATTTGCAAAATGTGTTCAAAAAAATTTTCTTCTTTAATATGTTGATTACTTACAGGAAAAGGAGCTATACTTGACCATCTCTTGGGAAATAAGGCAGGGCAAGTGACTGAGGTGTTAGTGCTTTGGGACTAGTGATGATAATTTTATTAGTTTTAAAATAAGGAAAGGATAGACCTGGTCCACAAGTGGACCTTCTAAACTGGAGTGAGGCCAATTTTAATGGTATTAGACAGGAACTTTCAAAAGTTGATTGGGGCAGGCTAATCACACATAAAGGGACAGCTGGCAAATGGGAAGCTTTCAAAAGTAAGATAACAAGAGTTCAGAAACTATATGTTCCTGATAGTGTGAAGGGCAAGGCTGGTGGTTGTAAGGAATGCTGGATGACTAGAGATATTGAGGCTCTGGTCAAGAAAAAGGAGGCATATATCTGGGCTCGAGTGTAGCCCTAGAAGAGTATAAGGGCGGTAGTTAAGAGGGAAATCAGGAAGGCAAAAATGGGACATGAGATAGCTTTGGCAAATAAGGTTAAGGAAAATCCGAAGATATTCTACAAGTACATTCAGGGCAAAAGAGTAACTAGGGAGAGAATAGGGCTCCTTCAAGATCAGAGATAGTAGGAACTGCAGATGCTGAAGAAAGTTTTTCTGAAGAAGGGTCTAGGCCTGAAACATCAGCCTTCCTGCTCCTCTGATGCTGCTTGGTCTGCTGTGTTCATCCAGCTCTACACCTTGTTATCTCCTTCAAGATCAGCTGTCTAGGTATGGAACCACAGGAGGTGGGTGAGATACTAAACAAATATTTCACTTCAGTGTTTACTGTGGAGAAAGACATGGAAGCTGGGGAACTTGGGAAAATAAATAGTGATGTCTTAAAAAGAATCCATATTACAGAAGAGGAGATGCTGGAAGTATTAAAATGCATAGAGATAGATAAATCTCCATGACCTGATCAGGTCTAGAACTCTGTGTGAAGCCAGGGAAGTGCTTGCTGGGCCCCTTGCTATGATATTTGTACTATCAACAGCCAGGGGTGAGGTACCAGAAGACTGCAGGGTGGCTAATGTGGTGCCATTATTTAAGAAAGGCTGCAGGAAATGCCAGGGAACTGTAGACCAGTGAGCTTGACGTCATTGGTGGGTAAGTTGTTGGAGGGGATTCTGAGGGACAGGATTTACATGCATTTGGAAAGACAAGGATTGGTCAGGGATAGTCAACATGGCTTTGTGTGTGGGGAAATCATGTTTCACTGACCCGACTGAGTTTTTTGAAGAAGTGACCAAGAAGATAG